GGAGGCTGAGGCAGGAGAATGGCGTGAACCCGGGAGGAGGTGGAGCTTGCAGTGAGTGGAGATCGCGACAGAGCGAGTCTCTGTCTCAAAAAAAAGAAAAAAAAAATCTCCAGTCTCCTCTTCCATCCATTAATTTTCTTTTTTTTTTCCTCTCTCTCTCTCTCTTTTTATTTATTTATTTATTTATTTTGAGATGGAGTCTCAATCTGTTGCCCAGGCTGGAGTGCAGTGACAATCTCAGCTAACTGCAACCTCCACCTCCTGGGTTCGAGCAATTCTCCTGCCTCAACCTCCCGAGTAGCTGGGATTACAGACACGTGCCACCACGCCCAGCTAATTTTTGTATTGTTAAAGTAGAGACAGGTTTCACTATGTTGGCCAGACTGGTCTCAAACTCGTGACCTCAAGTGATCTGCCTGCTGCGGTCTCCCAAAGTGCTGGGATTACAGGAGTGAGCCACCATGCCCGGCCATCCACAGATTTTCACTGTGCTCCTGCGTCAGCAGCTCCAGGTCTTTCAAGTACATTTGGCTGGTCTTTCAGATCGTCACAGAGTGATCTGACAATGTCCAGTCTCATGTAATTCTCAGGCTTGACTAGGCTTCGGAAAACCTGGAGGCATCGCTCTTTCAGGGTATACGCTGGCAGTGTGATGTTGGCAAAAACAGGCTGTCCATCAACATTGGAACATGGCGTAAACAATTCAGTTTGGTTAACCATAAGTTTATCGTGTGTCCTTGCATCTCTGAAGAGTCATGGGTGGCTTCGGAACTTGTGGATGCAGAAGTCCCTGCCGGGCAGCAGCTCTTCATAGCGGTTGAGCCACACAGGCAGCACGATGCGTGGGTTGCGGTTGCAAATGACCAGGGAGAGCCCAGGTGAGTTTCTGGAGCGCAGCACAGGCCATGCTGCTCCAGCCGCCATCTCCTTCTCGGCGCCCGACTCTTCCTGGCAGTACTCTTCTGGGCCTGCCTCTTGGGTGCCCGCCTTGGCCTCTAACTCCACCCCGTTCCCCGCTCTCCAGGGCCTTACCTCCGAAGCCTTGACAACTCGGGCCTGCCCATACCAGTTCTTAAAGAAACTACTTCCCTTCACCCGGATTTCGGCAGGCTGGGAGTACATAACCTCCTACCTGGGTGGTAAGCAAGACATCCTAGATCAGACAGACTTACTCCCAGCCTCTCCTACCTAGCCCGTCCCACTGAAGAGCTACCTATAGTGGGAGAGATCCAAATGGAATCCCAATAATACAACTGTGATAGGAAGATCCAAAGAGGAATTTGAGGGTATTCCATGAGATAGCACACCTGAGGGTTCTTTATGTCAATCTAGTATTTATTGGACACTTCATGGCTGGGCGCAGTGGCTCACACCTGTAATCCCAGCACTTTGGGAGGCCGAGGCAGGTGGATCACCTGAGGTCGGAGTTCAAGACCAGCCTGGCCAACATGGTGAAACCCCATCTTCACTAAAAATACAAAAAAATTGGGCCGGGCGCGGTGGCTTAAGCCTGTAATCCCAGCACTTTGGGAGGCTGAGACGGGCGGATCACGAGGTCAGGAGATCGAGACCATCCTGGCTAACACGGTGAAACCCCGTCTCTACTAAAAAAAATACCAAAAACTAGCCGGGCGAGGTGGCGGGCGCCTGTAGTCCCAGCTACTCGGGAGGCTGAGGCAGGAGAATGGCGTGAACCCGGGAGGCGGAGCTTGCAGTGAGCTGAGATCCGGCCACTGCACTCCAGCCCAGGCGACAGAGCGAGACTCCGTCTCAAAA